TGAGGGCAACAAATGTATAGATGTGCTTTACACAATTGATCTATGTATTGCGATGAATTTTATGAGCCCCAATAAATTGATTAAAAAAAAAAAGATGGCACAGCTTAGTTGGAGAAATTAGTACAGGAGATTTGTGATTAGCATCTTGACATAAAATAGCTGCCATTGTGTGGCACCCATCTTCAGAACTCAGAGAAGAGAGAGCCCTTTGTGATGCATGGATGACCAGATTACGGTTGGATAAATTAACCTAGGGAGTGTTTGGTGGCACTTCCCTACCCTGAACTATCCATTTATCCTGTTAGTGCCCATCACCATTAGTGGTTTCTTAAACCACTAATTTTATCATAATGTGAATACTCGGAGGCAGGGAGAACTCTAAAGGATGAAGTAGAGGGTTTCCTAGGCTGTACTGCTTTTCACGGACAGCTTTTTCATCTCCAGGTTTTTCCTCCTGCAAAGTTGATGGTGGGTTTGAACTACTGAAACTTTAGTTAGCAGCCATGTCTTAACCATGTTACCACCAAGGTTCTGTGGGAGGTAGGGCCAACTGCTGTGCAATGGATTCTAATTCATAACAATTCTAAGGAGAGAGCTGCCCACAGATTTTTTTCAAGGCTATAAATTTTTACAGAAGCAGACTGCCACATCTTTCTCCCATGAGTGGTGAGGGGATTTAAACGACTGACCTTTTGGTTAGCATCTGAGTGGTCTAACTACTGTGTCTGATGAGCTGGAACCAAGGGCTCAATAGAAAGTAAATGTCTATAAATGAATGAAGGCAACATATGTACAAACATGCCTGATGCAATCAATGTATGGATTGTAACAAGAGTTGTAAGCCTCCCCAACAAAATGATCTTTTAATTATAAATAAGTAAATAAATGACTGTAAATTTAAATAAATAAATAAACTACCGCGTCTGTCACCAGGGCTCCTTGGAGGTAGATATGTTCTATTTTTCTATATCTTACTCCATTAAGACTTTGGGGAACTATCAATCAGGAATGCTTTAAGTTAAGAACAAGCATAAAATATTTCCCTACTCCTTTTGCCAGTAAGAAAAGTAGCATAATCAAGAAAAACTGACTTTATTTTCTGTGTGAAAGTTTTGCATTAAAATTGATGTAAGCATATAAGGTCAGCTTCAAAAAATTTTGTGGAAAAAAAAATTCCATTATCTTTCAATTCCATTTTCCATGAACTTTCTGAAGCTTCCTCATATTTTCCATATTTGACTTTGATTAGAATTCATATATAACTAATGAATATTTGAAATGTAGTCACTGCCTGGCAAAGTAGTTCTAGTTAAGAATTCCTTGTGAGCCTCAGTTTCATTATCTGTACAATAGGAATAGTTTTAAGACTTATTTTATGTCTGATATATAGTATCATGTAGGTGTGATTTTTATTTTGAAATAGGAATCATTTTCTTGGGAAAATACTGTTTGCATGAGCTAGTTATTTAAACGGTTAGAGCTATTTAATGGGAAGGGGTGGCAGCTTTTATGCTTGTCCCATTTCTGTGGGCATTAGAATCAAGTACAGGTGCTGTTTTATTAATTGTAAGTGAAATAAAACAATTTAAAGGAGTAGAAATCATGGTATTTCTAGCAGTTTTAAAGAACACCATAAGAAACACTTAGTGTGGGTATAGAATATTTGTTACAATTTCCTTGACTTTCACATTTCCATCAATTAAAGGTCATTTAGATAAAAGATGTATTTAGGGGAGAAGGTTATAAATATCTTGAGAGTTCCTATATTCTCCCCTCTGAGTTCGCTTACCTGTAGTTATATCCCAGCTATGAATTGTGGAAAACCTTTTTTTTTAAGTAACCACATAATCTGCGAGAAACAATTCATGCCAACTGAGTAGTGATGAATACAGATTAATTATTTTTCTATTGGGTCATGTGGTATGAGGAAGGAGTTAAGCAGGTTTAGGAAGTTTGTTTTTCAAGTTGGTGAGGTTTTGTTTGTTTGAAAGGGTGTAGTGATGATAGAACTGGTATGGATTTCTTGCTAGCTGATTCCAACAAAGCACAAGGCTGCTTAAGAACCTTCCCTGGGCTAGAGTGTCAGTGGAAGGTCAGCTTCAGACTGTCTCAAAATGTAAGGCCCCTTCTGCTCCTCACCTGCCATCTCACCTGAAGGTTCTGTCATGAGTGTCAACTCTTTCTGTCACACTGATGTCTTCTCTTCCCTGTTAGATGCAAATACATGATATTTGCATTAAAAGCCACTAGCTAGCTGATTTCCAGTTATGTGATTCACAAAGCATATCCTGTCAAGTTCTAGCTCAAAGTTTGGTGCT